GAGTGGAGATGTCGGCATCCTGGAGATCGGCGAGGTCTGCCTTTCGGATGCTGGGGTCGTCCCTTCTGGTGGAGTCCCCTCTGTCATTGTTGATTCAATTCATAAGTAAAGAAGAATCCCTATCCCCTCAGACGGCGCCAACTGTTAGAACTAGTTTCCGCACTAAGTAAAATAGACAAGTCGGGGATGGAAATTTAGGGATTTTCTTATTAATTATTTGATCAAAATGACAAGTACAAAGAGGGGAGAACAAAAACGATATCGTCAAAAACTTTAAGTAAAAAGAAGACGGCCTGCTTTCCGATTTTCAGGAATCGTCAAGCAAAGAGCCATCAAAGGAAAGAGAAGAACGTCTCGGGGAGAAGTCGAATTTGGGAGTGTAGGCTGGTCGAGCTCGTGAATCAAGAAAAACGTCTTTTCAGTCCGAAAATCAGATGTCTTATCACATCAAGGTATTGTGCTATTTATAGCACCTTGATGGCGGTGTCAAACGTTGGGCCCGCAGACTTTTTCAACAAATGGGCCGAACCAACATCTGTAAACAGGCCGGGCCGCCATCTCCTTCTGTTGACTTTGGGTTGACTTCAGCCAGTGGACTTTCTTCAATATTGATTCATTATCATGTAAATGGCATGGGCCAATTAAATAGGCATTTAGGCCCAATACCAACAAATATGCAAACTTATACATCATGTAACTAACTGCGTACGAACTATGGATAGAAAGCAACACATGTTTACAGTCTGTTTCCTAAAAAACCAACTGGTTTTCCAACTGTTGTTGGCTAGCCTGGACCAAAGCAAATGACATACTCATGTGAGAAGAATCGTATCATGGAATCATATTAGTAGATTAACATATTAATATACTCAAGACCAAAGTTTGTTTTAGAATATTAATTATTTCGAGACTAATTCATATAACGTAGGAAGCAATAGGATCACCTTTTAGTCTGGTTACCATGGAAGATGGAGAGGCCAAATTTTATGAGATTATAGGAATGAAAAATTATATATTGATCCTGTATAAGTTTACAAATGTTTAGAAAATAAAAGTCCATTGACAAAATATATAAGTGACGATGCTTTCCAATCATTCCCATTCTTTGGGTTTCCTTTGTTGTCCAAACTCACTAACATGTGCTAAATCTAAATATGTACGTTTGGCCGCTTAGACTGACCCAACTTGAAAAATATGAATTAGCAGCTTGAGCTTGGTCGGTTGGTCATTTGGCCGATGACCGAAGCAAATGAATATAACATCTACGTTGACACTTGCATGTGTATTATTTTTGTAATTACATGATTTTATTGGCAAGATGGGCTTTTTCAGTTTGATCAAAAAGAACTATAAATGAATGCTTCCCACCCTTAGAATGGGATAAAAAATATTGTTATTAATTGATATTAATTGGGTTAGAAACAGCAAAACCATAGAACCTAAAATATTCTTCCACATATCGGTTTCTTTGCACAAGACTTCTAAATTTCTGGTAGACTATCTATGGTAATAACTTGGACGAACCTCTTTTTCATCAAGCTCTTCATTTCTGTCCAAATTTTTATGGGGTATTCTTGATTGCGTCTTCTGGTTGTGACAAGTTGATCCTATCAACTAAAGAAGTAATCATATTGCCGCTACTTTGACTTTGTTTGCTTCAGTATAATGCTGCACGAGGAAGACAAGTTTGGTCTTCTTTTTCCATTCTAAATAAGCATTCGGATCGCACTTGCCATGAAACGACGGGATCTTAAGTTCTAGCCCTCTCTTCCAGGTTTAGATCCCATGTGCCCACTTCAAGAAGAACCATTGCTCTTGTAGTACTGATCAGTCGCATTACCACTAGACTGGTCGATGGGCTCGTTGTCCTGGTTATGATCGGTTTCTCTCTCTTGTCGTGAGTGGTTCTGCCTCCTGTCATCATTGGGTTCTTGTCGCATGGATTCAAAGTGATTATCAACATCATTTTCAGTTGAGCAGACAAGGTTTCCATCATAAGTTGGTTGTCGCGAGCCGCAGCTATCTCTTCTTCATCTTCTCTTGGTACCTGAAACATCAGAAACAACTCGTAGTAAAAAGTTCTTAAGAGAGAGATCTTATGAATAAAACATGACAAAAGGTTTAGATCTGATGTGAAATAATCGAAATCTAACACCCTAACAAGGTTTGTATACAAATGATCAGAACCGTGTTTCTCAAGAATTCAAAAAGACAAAAATATGAATTGACAAAAAATCAAAATATTTAGCTTTCAAAATGGCTGTGATACCACTTAATATGATCCTCCATATGATCGTTACTTTGAAAGCAAACAAAAGGTGAGAATGGATCCGAATGAACACAGAAAACAAACAGACAAGGAAAGATGATGATGATGATGTTTGTATGGGATGAATGGTCACACTAATGCTGCAGAATGATCATTAGATTCACCAAGGGAAACGAATGGTCACATAAAGTTTATAGAAATATCATTGATTTACCTTTGATTTATTCTTAAAAGGGATTTTAATAAAAAAGATAGATGAGTTTCTTCTCTCGAGTACAAGATAATATAAAGAAAGAAGAGAAGTAAAGAAGAAGAAGTAAAGAGAGAGATTGTAGCATCTGTATCCGAGAGAATTCAAAATGATCGAGCTGGACTGGGCATTGTCCGAGGAATGATCGAGCCAAGGGTCGGATATTGGCTGGGAAATGGAGGTTCGAACTATGGTTGGGTGTTGACTGGAAAATAGTCGGACGGATGGCTGGGAAAGCCGAACCGGATGGACCATATCCGACAGAAAATGGTCCAGTCCGTGAGAAAATGGGATTAATCCAAGTGAGAGTGGGGTTAGTCCGAGTGACAGTGGACTGTTTCCGAGGAAAAAATGGAAAGTTAGTCGATGAAGTGAGATTATCCGGGTGAAAAATGGAAAGTGGTTGGACAGAAGGAAAATAACTCGGATAAGGGCGGATATCTGAGAGAGAAAAGGAAATTGTCCGAGAAAAAGTGGACTGGATCGTGGGCCAAGCGTGTTAGGTCAGCTTATATGCGGTTATCACGCGGATGGTAGAGTTTGGCACGGGTAATAGCCAAGAGAATCTAGTCGGTTCGGGATAAATCCTACTGGAACCAGGAAAACGTCGGTTTAGACCGAGTTACTTAGGGTTTTGCGAGTATATAAGGCGTTTTTGAGACTTAGCTCGGGGTGTTGCGTTTATTTGAGTTAAATAAAGCAAAGAAAGAGCTTAGTCGAGAGAAAACCCTAGAAAACAAAGTTTATCCCGAGGATAGCCGAGAGAGATTGACAGATCGCCGTACGGATCTGACCATCGTCGAGATAAACTGGTAAGCGATCGGATATTTCCCTTTGTGTCGAGTTTCCATAGGATAACCTCGAGCTAATAGTCGTGTTTTGTGGAGTTTCCGAGGGTAAACAGAGTTTGGCTCGGAGAAAGGTGAACGGATCGAGAGATAGCCGAAGGGAAAGGGATCAGATCGTACGGACAGCCGAGAGATTCCTAGGGTGATCGGATATCTTCGATTTGGTGCGGATTTCATCGGAATTTCTTCTGACCAATCTGTTTCCAGCCTTGTTTAAGGTGAGTGTGTAATTGTGGTTGGTGTCTAGGATCGTTGGATTGCTAGGGTTGAATGTTTTGCATGTTTGATTATGTGATTTTCATGTTGTGTGTTTAAAACTATTAAGCGAATATATGTTATGGTATTGTGAGGTGTTTACCATGGCATAGATGATGTCTAGCTAACCTCAGGGTAATCCGGATCATGTACTAGTTTAGGGGATGTGGGATTCTCGCTGAAGTAGACATGGGTCTTAAAAAGGGATTGATCTTGGTTGGTTAGGTTAGATGATCATGGCCGCTTGATATTTATGTTATGTCTATTGCGAATTGATTGTGTCGGATGTTGAATCCGATAGTATGAATGTGTGATTGGTACTGACCAGGTGTTACGGGATGACCGTACTCACTAAGTATTTATCAAATACTTATGCCTCTCTTCTTAAATGTGCAGGTACTAAGCAGTAAGGGAGCGAGACCAGGCGGCAGTGATGGACACGGATGGATCGGAGATTAGGTGTTTTATGATTTAAGACTTGTGTTTAGAGTCTTATGGCTTTGGTGTTTGATTGTTAGGTTGCTAGATGATCAGTTGTAATCGTTAGCGAACCTTGTGTTTTGATTTATGTTGAATCTTGAATCTTGTTTAAGTGCTTTATTCAAGTTTAATGGAATGAAATGAGTTATTTTTGAATCCGCTGTGTAATTGTTAAATGAAAGAAAAAATTTAAAAATTTGGCTAAGTATAGAACCGAACTGTTAAGATGTAGTGGGGCACAGCTGTGGTATGGTTTGCCAGGTCGGGCTACCACAGAGATAGTCTTGAAACACGCTCCTGCTCCTTGACTATCTCATAAACACAAACTTATTCAAATGTTTAAACAACTAAGTCACGAAAAAAGAAAGAATAAGTGGGCAATAATGTTGTGAAACACTTGCTTTGTTAAAATCTTCTTTTGGAAAATCCATTAGAACAAAACCAAAATAAGGAAAAAAAACACAAAATATTTCACAAACCCATTTGTCAATCATATGCTTGAATACAAACCAAAGTGGATTGTATAGTCTTTAATCGGCTAATACTTGATATGGTCAAGTAAGATGCCAAGGTTTTGTCTTAGAGCTTGAGTCTTGGATCGAGTCATGGACCCCTGGTATGATGAATGCCTCCTCTCCTGCAAACTAGATTCTTTTTATTATGTCTTTTCTCAGCTACAAGCTTTGTTTTAAGATCATCTTTTTAGAGGTTTTCATGATTATATCAGTTTTATATAAATTTTATATTCAATAACAACATAACATATGATGATAATACATTTAAAAATCACTTATTGAATAACAGGAAATTTGAAAACCACACAATTTTTCTAAAATTCTTAATCCAATACACACCCTTTATAATTTACTTGATCAAATTGATCCATGATTTCAAATCCCAAATAGCAAAAAAAAAAAAAAAAAAAAAAAAGAGATGCAAAGAAATGTATAGGTAAAGAAATGTATAGGTGGAGATATAGTTGAATAGTTATTACACTTACTTTAAATGGATAAGTAGCAAAAAAATCCAAAAATAAAATGTAGTGAAATGTATACAGTAGTTGGATACTGTAAATCTCACTAACTCCAAGCTTCCAAAGTGAATTACTTTAAGCTACCAATAAAGCTTCACTCTTTCTTACCGAAAACGACCGAAAATTGGATATATAAAGAAACTGAGGAGCCACATACACTTGTATTGCTTCAGTAAAGCTGCTTTAAGCCTTTAACTTCTTGTTGAATATTGCTCCAAATACCCATTTTTGATGCTATATTTTAATTTTTATAAATGTGGGTGTGCTTTTTGTATCTGATCTCATTGGAAATGAAAAATACAATTACTAATCAGTAAGTTGGCGAATCTCTTTCATTATCTAAATCAAATATCAAAGTTGAATATCAATTATTTTTAATTACCTTCTCAAAACTGTTGATTTCTTTTCTTTCTTTCTTTTGTTGGGTAAAATGAGAATTGGTTGGTAAAATCAGTAAGCATCATATTTACTCTTCTTTTTCATCGCAGATTTCAAAACCAACAAACAAACAATCACAAAACCTAAAACTGCAACTCCTCCCACCACCAAAGCTATTGTTCTTTCTGTGTGTTGTCTCTTCTCTCCATCTACACACATACACAAAACCCATCAATGGCTGTTCCATTATAATTAATTACCTTTTCCAAAAATTATAGAAAATAAATAAATACATTCCTATATTGTAGTTTCACATGTCAACATACTAAAATTTGAAAAATCTCTTCTTTTTCCTAAAGTAATCTAATTTCCCCCACTAGCTTTTTGTTTTTTTTTATTATTGCTTCCACTAATTCTTTTATTTTAATTATGTCTTGCCTCCATTAGCTTTTTTGTTTAATCTTCAATGAATATTTTTCCTACCAGATCCATGTGTATAACAGACAAATCATTCGATTATTAGCATAACTATAGCCTAATTATCACCAAAGTGGATTCTTCGCATAACTAGAGCTTAATTATCACCAAATTGTTAGGATTATCCGACAAAAAAACGATTTAGAGCAAACGCCGTATCCCCATTAACGTGTCTAATCTACCTATCGAATCTTTTTATTTTCTTTCTAATTTGCAATTTTGATATTGATTTTTTTCTTAATTTTTTTACCTGAATCTGAAGAAATGTTGGGAACGCCATGAGAGTAGTAATTGTAGCTAACAAAGCACTTATGAAGATAAATCTGTCCAGAGATGGAATCTCCACACTCACTCTTTGCTTTCTCAAATCCATCTTTCACACATTCACCACAATCTGAATTTCCCAAACTACCCTCGCACTGGCCCAACACATAAACCGACTCATACTGTCCCGCGTAAAATCCTCCGCCGCCGCCGCCGCCGATGCTGACGTTTCCTCCGGTTTTCACGCCGTTCTCCGCCATCTCAAACGCCGTATCCCTCTTCCCGGAGAAACCAGGATCGCCGGAGTGTTTTTTCCCGCAGACACGGTACAGCATCTCATCACCGGAAGTCTGCCGGAATCCCGACACTTCGTACCGGACATAACATCCAGAGAGCTGCACACGCGCCGCCACCACAACATTTCCGCCGTCTCCGTCTCCGCCGCAGAGCTTAGAGACGAGTTTGGGGATTCCGGCCACGCAGTCGTAGCATTCAGCGGTTTGGAGATCGCCGCGGCACTGGAAAACGCCTGTTACGGCGGTTGTGTTATCAGTTCCGGCGGTTGTGGACGCGAAAGATCTCTGAGCGGATTGAGAAACTAAGGAAGTGAACAAAGTTTTGAGATTCTGAGAGAAAACACCGGTTGGGTCTGGGAACTTCTGATTTGCGCAACCTTTGAAGATCAGATTTTTTTTGTTATCAGCGGAGATTACAGAGAAACGTAAGAAGAACCAAAAGATGAAAAATTGATAGATTGGTTTCATAATCGAAACAGAGAGAGAGAGAGAAATATCGAAACTTTGTTTTGATATTCAATAAATTTTTAGTAGTTTAAGCATAAAGTTTGCGTTTTTATGTCCAGCCAAAAAAAGAAATTTGACGTTTTTATTTTTGTTTTTTTGTCGTTGAGAGTTTAAAGACAAAAATGTTTTCAATGGGGATTTGAGAAGCAAGAGCTGGTTTTGTAAGTATGAAACCATGAAAAATAAAGGAGCATACTTTTCTCCGGATTTTGCTTCAAGAGTAAGATAAAAGAAAGAAACTTTGAGACGACATGTTTAATTTTTTTTATACATATGTTTGGGACAGAGATTACAGTTCTATAAAAATGATTACTGTTAGCTTTTTATTGAATTTCGGTGAATCACTTTTAATGCCATTGAATCTGACTATATTGTATGAATTTTGGAGTTTGTTACCGGACATTAAATATCATGAAGACAAAACACTTTTTGTGGCTGGTTTTGACGGTTCCACGATATATATTGTAGTCGAAGGGACGATCTCTCTTGCCGCTTCACACAGGATTAAAATCTGTTTGATGCCCGATGAAAGTGTCTCAATTGATGAAACCTTGATTTAATTGAACCTGAAATAACCGGTGTGTTGGTGTGTGAATGCAGTAATAAATATCTATACTATTATTTGAGAAGTAGATTTATGACGTGTCAGTCTCAGGTTCGTTCTCAACATACTTTAGGCATCGATTTTTCTAATTATATCCTTAATGAAAACTATAGTCTAATTATTAGTTTAGTGTTATACATGGTTTGTTAAGATTGATTGTTCGGTTAGCTGGATAAGGATAAATTAATTAATTGGTTAGTTAGATAAGGATGGTTTTCCGAATCGCCGACTTATATGGTAGTCGAATATACTCATTTATGAATCAAATTTAGACTATTGAATTATTAAATCAGTTAATAAATAATCACAAATGAATATTTCTTGATTTTGAAGATTATCAAATATAAATAAAAAAGAAATTTAGTTTCGGATGACGGCTAAACCTAATATAGCTAGCTAATAAAAAAAAACCAAATCATTTAAGCTATATATATATAGCTTGCTACCTCTCGATGTCGATGTTTTATATCTTATTAAGTATATAACTCGCGTTACGCGCGAGTCTGTATTAATATTTTGATTTAATATTTTTAGCTATTATCTTTAAAATTATTAAAAATATAATATATTTATAAAAAAATTATTTATATAAGAGAATTAAATATATATTGTGTAATTTATCCTATTTTTATTTATATATTTTAAAAAACTATTAGGTAAAATAATAACCATGACACCTATCGAATTATCCAACTTTGACGTACATATACATTTGATTTAGAGAAATATAATCTTGCTAAGATTTTGGTATTATTTTTTGTTTTCCATAGAATTTCTATAGTTATTTTTTCTTGAAGGTTTATGTGTTCAAATATTTAGTTTTTTATTGAAAGTCTTATTGATGTTGTGTACCACTGCATATATAATCCATGATTCATGTTGATTCACATTTAATTTTGTTAGGAAGCTGTAATGATCATGTAAAACCATTTTTTCCTTCTTCATCATGTCTTCCAAGAGTTTTATGTTATATTTTTATTCAGTTTTCATTGTTTTTATTGTTAAATCGAGTTGTTGTAGATTTTTTAAATTGATTATTGATAATGGTTATTTTTTTTTATACATGTATTGTTAATTGTTATTTTTTTATTTAACTTTTAATTTTTTAAACCATATTAACATTTTCTGATTTAATAAATATGTGATTTGGATCAATCAAATTGAATTTACTTTTTTTGTTGGACATAATTTGTTAAATTAACTTTTAATGTTTTAATTATACTTAATAATTTTTTGTTTGATTTAAAAGTTGATGTGGACCAATTAAATCAAGTTTTTCCGTCTTAACCATACTTAACATTTTTTTTATTTAATAAATATGCTGATGTGGACCAATCATATTGAGTTTTTTAATCCCATGTGGACGTCCTCAATGCACTATGCCATCAACTTTTATATATTATATTAGGTATATAATTCGTGCTACGCGCGAGTCTTTATTAATAGTTTGGTTTAATTTTTTTGTTAGGAAGCTGCAATGATCTTGCAAAACAATTTCTTCCTTACTCTATAAATTATAATATTTAGTTTTTTATTGAAAGTCGTATTGATGTTGTGTACCACTATATATATAATTCATGATTCATGTTGATTCATATTTAATTTTGTTAGGAAGCTGTAATGATCATGCAAAACCATATTTTCCTTCTCTATCATGTATTACAAGAGTTTTATGTTATATTTTTATTCAGTTTTCATTGTTTTAATTATTAAATCGAGTTGTTGTAGATTTTTTAAAAATTGATAATTGATAACAGTTACTTTTTTTTTATACATGTATTATTATTTGTTAATTTTTTTATTTAACTTTCAAATTTTTTAACCATATTAACATTTTCTGGTTTAATAAATATGTTTATTTGGATCAATCAGAAAATTTACTTTTTTTTGTTGGAAATGATTTGTTAAATTAACTTTTAATACTTTAATTATACTTAATAATTTTTTGTTTGATTTAAAAGCTGATGTGGACCAATTAAATCAAGTTTTTCCTTCGTAATCATACTTAACATTTTTTATTAAATGAATATGTTAATGTGGACCAATCTGATCGAGCTTTTTAATCCTATGTAGATGTCATCAATGCACTATGCCATCAATTTTTATATATTACTAGATGAGTACCCACGCGATGCGCGGAATTTGTTTTTCACAATATAATTTATTAAAAAGTGTAGTTACAATCTATTTTATCGTATATTTAAATTTTTCGTAAAGATGTTGTGTATTTGAATAAACATACAATAAGTATTTACATATTATATGGATATTAACTATATATGTAATAAATAGTTTATTGACAAGGAAATGTGAAATATGTTATACCTTGTATATATAAAATATATCTAACTGCAAATCAGAGAAGTACTATATAACAAAAATTAATTAGAGAAACTCTTCAAGCACAGTATAGGTAGAGACGACCCTTTTTAATAGGTCGTATTTTTTCACGGCGCATATTTACACAATAGCAACATCGTCATTTTATATTTTTATCAGCTTAAATAATTGATTTATAATCCTAATTTATACAACTGCATTGAATATTTTATAAATAAATATATTAGGACTTTGATATCTTATTAATTTAAAAATTATTAATGGATCCAGTTTGAATAATATAAATTATAAAATAGTTATTAGTTTATAAAGAAATTGTTTTAAAATTTATTATAATATTGCATAAATCTTTTTTCTAATTTTTTAGGTTCAAAATATCAAATAATTGTTATTTTTATATTTATATAATTATTTTTATAATAATAACTTATAATATTAATTAAAAACAAGAAAGACTCTTAAATAAGAAACATAATTTTCTAATGATTTCAAAAAACTAGCACAAATTAGATATTCAATAATTATTTTTGAATATTAAGTAGATTATTGTTATTAAAATATATTATCCAATATTTCATATTTTTCATATTCTTTTAGTATTATGATTAATAATACAGTAAATTTATGCATTAAATTTTATATAATTTATATCATTAAATTTTTTTAAAAAATACATGTCACTTTTACAATAAATCAAAATAATGAGGTGACATTTATATGGAGAGAGTTAGGCATCTTTTATAGTATAGATAGCTTTAGTTTTTAATTTTTTTTCTCTAGATGAATGATTCTTTGTGTTTCACTTTTTGGTTATGTTCTAATGTTTTTTTATAGTTTGTTGTCGTCGTATATATATCTCGTGATTCCGTGCTTCTAACTTTTTGATGTAGATCGATATGTGACATGGTATGTTGAGCAAGGTATGTTTTAGTTTAATTTTCGTATTTTGTATTTTTGTGTTTGTGTTTTGTAGTCGATTATTTTGTTGGTTATGATATGTTTACATGATCCTTTGTGCTTCACTTCTGGGATTCTTGGTGTGATGCTTCCAAGCAGATGGATCAAGTTTTCTCTCATCTCGCTACCAATTTTCCTCGAGCTCACTTTTTTAGGGTTCGTCCGCTCGCTATTTTCTGAAACCCAATGACAAATCGATTTCACTTCTTTCCTATGTAATTAGCTTTTTGCTTTGATGTTTATGGCTTCTCTTCTCAGGTAGAAGCTGAGGAGAATCCTGAAATATCTGAGGCTTACGCTGTCGCTGCTGTGCCGTATTTCGTCTTCTTCAAGGTAAAATTATGGTTTTTGCTATGTGTGATTGAAAGTTTAAAAGTGAAGTGTTTAGGGTTTTTGCTTCCCATATCAATATAGCTCCAGAGAATCAGTAGCACTCCATCAATGTCGAGTCTTCATGAAATCAAATCTTATTCCTTTTGCTTTGTTTAAAAAGCTTGAATCTTTTCACCTGCACTGCTGTGATTGTTCTGAAAGTTTGTTACTTTCTTCTGACTGTGAGTCTTCTGATTTTGAGGGATGGCAAAACTGTGGATACACTTGAGGGGGCAGATCCATCGAGTTTGGCCAACAAGGTTGGCGAAATCGCCGGTTCAACTACTTCTTCTGAGCCTGCTTCTCCTGCAAGCCTAGGGTTAGCTGCAGGGCCAACGATTCTCGAAACCGTGAAGGAGAATGCGAAAGCCACCGCGAAAGACCGAGCTCAGCCTCTCTCCACCACCACGGATGCTCTCAAAACCCGGCCGTTTGGAAAAGCTCATCAACTCTCACCCTGTCATGTTGTTCATGAAAGGTACACCTGAAGAGCCAAGGTGCGGGTTTAGCCGGAAAGTAGTCGACATTTTGAAAGAGAAGGAGGTTGATTTCGGGAGCTTCGATATACTCTCTGACAACGAAGTGAGAGAAGGTTCGATTAACGAGGTTTGAATCATCGCCTCTTTTTTTTTCAAACTTTACGATTGATCTTTGTATCTGCATATTGTGTGCACCTCATGTACTTATCTCGGTACATGTAAGATCGTTGTTTAGTCACGTGTGCATCTCTAGACGCAATTGAGAGTGCATAAGCTTATATCATATGGTTGTGTATTTGAGCTCATTGATTTTGTTGTAGTTGAGCTTTGATTCAAATTTCGGCCTTCGTTCTTGCAGTTCCCAAAGATTTGACAGCAGAAGAAGAGTCGGCTCTCTTCCGGATGCTTCAAGTTGTGAGACATCTTTGACTACTGCTTCTTAAATCTTACTTCAGTTGTGTTGTCAGTTTGTCACTTCTTCTTATAGTGTTTATCTTTCCAGGTGTATGGTTTATAGAAATTGCATGATGCTTTGCTCAACAGACCGAAGAACAAGCCTCTTATAACGGTATGAAAATTGGACTTTTGTTTTTATTCTTTCAGTGTGTTTCATTTTTGTCTTAGCGACTTGTATGATTGACTCTTCATGGGTTTGTTGAGTAATTGTGTTCTTGCTTCAGATTTAGACTTCGATTTTGATTTTGAGTCGTAATTTTGTTTTTAGCTGTCCGAATCCAGAAACAGGGTTCTTTTGGTTGAATCTCTTCTGAAAAAAACTAATTTTGATTGAATTAACCTTAACAAAGGTTCGTCGTTTTGGTGCAAATAATGTATGTATGATTTACTGCTTACACAAGCTTTAGAGATTCAGTGTGACACTTCTGCTTATGTGTTGTAAAGATTAAAGGAAATGAGTTTTTGAGTGTTGCGAATATTTTTTACTTATTAATGATTGTTGACAATTGCATTTCTAAGCTCCAATGTTTAGTTTTTTTTTTATAGGGTCAGATGGAATGGAACAATGGGTGGCTCCTTAAGAGAGAAAGATCCGTTTTTAGCTGAGTTCTCTTTCATCATCTTTTGGGATATAACATTTGCTTTGTGTCACTGAAAGGCGTCTGAGCAACCGGTCGAGGATGTGACTGTTGTTGCGGTATCAAAGAAAGAGGAATTAAATGTCCATACTGAGAATCACAGGGACAAGAACAGACCCGAGGCTCTTGATTTATCTACGGAGAAAACGGACAATGCCAATGAAAAGGCTCCAAAAGATGAAGCCTTGACGCCGGTAAAGGTACAATGCTTCTCACAAGACTCGTTTGTGTTTTTTTTGTTTTAGTCTTCTTAACATAACATCTCTCTCTCTCTTTCTTCTGTGTCAAGTCTCTGCAGGAAGCAGACCTCCCTGAGTCTGTTACTTCAGTGAAGAGTAAAACAGCTAAGGATAGCAAAACCGCTAAGAGAAAGTCAGGGACTTTTTCTCGGAGCCCGAGGTTCATGTCTCAGAGCTCTTCGTTTCCAACTAGAGGAGCTCATACTGATATCACAAGAAAGAGCATCGATGCAACACCACCAAAGGCTGCTACTCCTAAACCCGTCGTTGCTAGTGGATCCAAAGCAAAGGCAACTCCATCTCCAAGCAGTGTTGGTATTTCCACCAAGCGCAACAGTTTAGTATCTGTGCCTCTCAGAAAGCAAGCTACGGTAACTACTGATCTGTTTTGTTTAGTTGTTCTAAAAATCTTTCGCTGTTCTCAGCTAAACGATTTGCTTCTATGATGTTTCAGCCTGTGAAGCCCATTTCTAAAGATGCAGCAGCCTCAGCCCCTACTTCCAAGTGAGTCAAAATGTTTTTCTCATTTTTCGAATGCATCAACTGTTGAAGATCTTGATAGTCAACTAAACTGTTCTCCCGCAGAAATTTCAGATTGGGAGATGAAGTTTCTAAACCCACTAAAGATGAAATTGCAGTATTACTAGAATACTTCATTGTCATCATCATCTTTGTTAGTCGGGAAAATTCCTCTTTATAACCTAAAACTTGATTTTTTTTCAATATGTAGACTTTTTATTGAATGTTTGGCAAAACTAACCCAAATAGGTAGTGAAATTACAGCTCAGTCCTTTGTGACTAAACAAAAAACGTCTGTCACACTTACGATTTTATCATTCGAGAAGTCTACGTAAGAAATCTACAATAATTGTAGACTTCAAAAGAAGTCTACTACATAATTAGTTTTTTAAAAATTAATTAGAAAATATAAAATAAATAAATTTCTAAAAAATTGGTAAACATAAATAAGACATATATATATTTGACATGTATAGAGTACAAAATTTTATACAAATGAATCAACTTAAATGCAGAAAGAAAATTAACTAGAAAACATACAACCCCCTAGAAGTCTACTAAAGAAGTCTACTACAGAAAACATACGTATGCAGTAGACTTCTCCAGTAGACTTAAAAAAAACATAGCGGGAAATCAAAATTATTTAACAAATTGGGCGGAATCGGAAAAAATTAGGCGGGAATCGAAATCGAAAAAATATACCGAAGTAGACTTTTCGAGTAGACTTCTTAAGAAGTCTACTTAACCGAAATTTTTCCTACATATATAAAGAGATTAACCTAATTGGGTTAAAAATAAAGTTTTTCTCTCCCTCTAAAAAAACGCTTCTCTCTCCTCTACCTCCTCTCTGGCCATGAATCTCTTCTCCTTCCTCTCTTGCCATCAAACTCATCTCTATCCTCCATCCTCTCTATCTCAATTATGGTGATGGTAAGCAAATCTGAGGTTTTGTGTTTCTTTTGTTGTTTGTTTTGTGTTCATATTGTAAATCTAGGTTTATTAATACATATTTGAGATTCTTGTTGTAGATCTGAGTTTATTCTTGTAAATATGCGCTTCTTATGGTATAAATTTTGTAGAATTTGTTGCAGATCTGATTTTTTTTGTTGTTGCAGATCTGATTTTTTTTTTTTTTGTAGATCTGAATTTTTAGTTGTTGCAGATCTGATTTTGTTTATTTTGTTGCAGATCTGAATTTTGTTTATTTTGTTGCAGATCTATAATTTTTTTTGTTGAATAGCTGATTTCTTTTTTCCCTTTTGCTGCAGATATGATGTTTGTAAATATAGCATATTTTGTTGAAATATGAATTTTAACATTTTTTTTTCTTATTGTGCAGACCTGAGCTTATTTATTTCTCTTTTGTTTTTGTTGGAAGCAGACTTCTGCTGCAGATTTCTCGAGTAGACTTCTCGAGCAGACTTCTCGAGCAGACTTCAGTCACATACATCTATTTCAGATATTTTGTTTTTAAATGCTAATTAAGATTTATAATTAGTGATCCTTAAATGTTTGTTTGATTAGAAGGTCTACTTTATATGTAAAATTGGATTGCAATTAATGTTATTTTTATATATTCTTAAATTATGTGTGTTTTATCATATTCAGATTTCATATGCAGACTTCTTTGTCAGACTTAGTCATCACCATTTTTGAACCCCTAATAACACAAGAAAATTAATTCAATTTAACTATACAAAAACATGTAAAACTCATAACAAAAAAAAACATGTAAAACTACTTAGAACTACCACAACTAGTCTTTCTTCACACATTCTCAATAAACAATGGGTATGTGAACCATTCTCCGTAAGAAAACAAAATTCAAACCACATTAGAAATCATTGTCAAAAAAGTAGACTACAAACGTAGTCTACTATGTAGACTTCAAATGAAGTATGCAGACTATTAAGCTAAATATCGAATAAAAGAAGAAAATTAGTTAAAGCTAAAATGTAACAAAAAAATATTTCAAACTCATACATAAGCAAGAACAATAAATATCACACACTTAAGAGTCAAATAATAAATTTTATTTATTACAAATATCTGATCAATTAAATTTATAAAAATTAATGTTGCAGACTGCAAACGAAGTCTACTATGTAGACTTCAAGTGAAGTCTACGAACTAATAAGCTAAATACCAATTAGAACAAGAAAATTAATTAAAGCTAAACTATAACAAATAAACATGTCAAACTCCTACATAAGTAAGAACAATAAATAATACACACTTAAGAATCAAAGAATAAATTTTAGTTGTTACAAATATCTGATCAATTAATTTAATAAAAAAATTAATGTCGTAGACTGCAAACGAAGTCTACGGACTAATAAGTTAAATACCAAATAAAACAAGAAACTTGATTTCACCAAATATATATATATATATATATAATATAAACATGTAAAACTGATACAGATGTAAGTACACTTACTAAAACAATCGTAAGACCAAAAAAATCTTAATAATTCGTTGTAAATTTGATAAAAACGTGTTTATAAAAAAAGTGAAATAGTAGACGAACAACGAAGTTTACAAAAGTAGACTTGCAATGAAGTCTACAAATGTAGACTTCGTATGCAGTCTATATTTTAGGTTACTTTTGCAATTGCCAAAAGATGAGTAGACTTCTTCAAAGAAGTCTACTCACTCCGAGAAGTCTACTCGAGAAGTCTACGTAAAAAAAGGTTTGTTTTGCAATTGACCAAACTTTGACTTTTTCGTAAGAAGTTACTTGCAAAAGTAGACTTCTTCTGAGAAGTCTACTTTTAAAGTAGACTTCTTAGAGGTTAGTTTTGCAATTGACCAATGTTGACTTTTCAAAGTAGACTTCGTTTGAAGTCTACTTCAAAAGTAGACTTCAAATGAAGTCTACTTGAGTTAGTTTTGAGGTTGACCAAACATTGAATTTATTTTCGAGTAGACTTTTTTTGAAGTCTACTCAGAAAGTAGACTTCAAACGAAGTCTACTCGGAAAAGTAGACTTCAAGCGAAGTCTACTCAAAAAAGTCAACATTGGTCAATTGCAAAACTAACCTCTAAGAAGTCTAAGTTCAAAGTAGACTTCTCCGAAAAAGTCTACTTTTGCAAGTAGACTTCTTACGAAAAAGTCAAAAGTTGGTCAATTGCAAAACTAACCCCTTTTTACGTAGACTTCTTTTGAAGTTTACACTATTTTTTTTGTTGTCAAAGGAAATGGCGCAGACTTCAACTGAAGTCTACTGTCATAAATTGGTACACCCGGTCAATTGCAAAACTAACCTGTGTGTTGACCAGCAGACTTCTTTTGAAGTCTACTACCGACAGTAGACTTCTTAAGAAGTCTACTTTCGCGGCACAGATCTGAAAACTCACGAAAATTGACAGAAAAATCACCTACCAGTGGTATTTAACTTATTCAACCACCGATTTCTTTGATTCCAGTCACCACCAAACAAGCCCAAACGATTTGCCAATATATTAAAACATCAAGTTTCAAAAATTTAGATTAGAGAGTTTTTGTGCTGAAAATGGTGAAAAAATGGAAGAGTAGAAGGTTAAGAGAAGAGGAAATGAGGTTACAAAGCTAAAAAATGGGTCTTTGAAGCAATAAAAGCTTCAAATTGGTTGAAAATGGTGGTTGAATGAATTGATGGTGATGGTATTTTTGTGAATAAGTGAGAAAGATGAGGATTGTTTGGTAAAATAGATTTCCGAAATAATAATAAAAAACAATAATCTAATGGCATTTTCGTGAATAAATAGAACTGATAAGGATATAAGTGAGATAAAGTGGTTAATTTCAAAAGTGGTAAAATGGGAGGTTAGTTTAGCAATTGACTTGAATTTATGGGTCATTTTTGCAAGATTCCCTTGTTAGTTTACTGGACTTTTTGATAGGAAAAAAAGATAAAGAGTGTAATTCGTTCCGTATGTGCTATGAATTTGTATTCAAATTGGTGAGAAGTGAATGAAAGTTTGGTAACTACTCGACAGGGCATGGACATGGCAATTTCGAAGTTGAACAGTGGCGGGTGGGTTCACATATTTCTGGAAGGAAGTCGCTCCCGGGATGGTGGCAAGACTATGGGTACGGCAAAAAGAGGTATTGGAAGGTAAGTGTACTTTGAGCTCAGATACTTTCTAAGAAACGCTCCCCAAGTTTATCACTTTATATAAGGTAAGGAAAATACTAAACTGTAAAAAAATTTACTTGTTTTGCAGGTTGATTTTGGACGCATACACTGTTCCATTTGTGCACACGGGTATGCAGGATATTATGCCCGTGGGAGCCAATGTTCCACGTATTGGCAAGACAGTGAGTGTATTCTTTTAATTTTCTCTGTTCAATAATTTGGAGATCAAGTACCAAACGCAGTATGGAATGTTTTTCAATCTTTCGTATCCATTATTCGCAACCCAAGACTCTTTACCACGAACTAATGTTAAAATTTACATTGGTAACCCGATTCACTTTGACGACCTTCTCGGGACTGAAGAAGCTGAAAACGTTTCGAGGAAACACTTGTATGATGCTGTATCTTCGAGAATTGGACAGAGACTGTACGAGTTAAAAGCTCAAGTCGACAGAGTATCGCTGGAACAGCAGTCTTTGATGTCACAGGACGCCAGAACATCCTCGGACCGCGCTGCCGATATCTTTCACCGGGTTGATTGGGACTCATTCGGGATGGGGGCACACTTCTCAGAAGAATCATCAACCATTAATAAACAACTTGGCAATGATTGTCTTGTCTCCAGTTCCTTAGATCGTCAGATCCCCAAAAGAGGATTCTCATCCGAAGCAGGGATGAGTCTGAAGATTTAAGAAGTTCATGGATTCTACTGAAAACATAGGTTTTGCAACTAGAGGGTTGTTTGTGAACGATCATAAGACTAGGGCTGAATCCACCAACTCTAACTGTGGTGGGAGCCTTGAGACTGTCGAAGACAAAAAAACGGAGGTTCTTGAATATGTACCCAAAGAGTCAATATAGGAATACACCTTTTAATTCATTAGATTTATTATGTGAGTAATATTTTTAAATTTTTTCAAAGTTTTAGTTTCACTTATTTTATTTTTGTAATGTAAATTGTATACAAACTCCGTTAATGGAATATTGTGTACCAAAAAATTGGTTCTTACGAAAGCCTCTTTGTTAAGTTTGTATATTGATATCTTAAGTTAAAATTGGTAGATATTATTTTGTGAGCCATGTTTATGCTGCAGATTGTAGTTTGGTGATGTGCATATTCTTAAAAGTAAAGTAATTTTCCGGGTATCTTCATACACTCAACTTTTTGAATTCTTAGATTTGAGTAAGTATTATATAAACGAATCCTTTAGCAAAAAAGTCTTAGTGACCGGAGTAAAATAATTATGTTGATGGTCACTATTTGGATTTCAAAATACTTTATATTCATAAGATACATTTATAAAGATATGTTAGGGTGTAAATATATAATAGAAAATAATTTATTTATTTTTGTTTATCTGTTACAAATTAAATGATAAAAACTTTATTGCTTTTTTTTTAATTTGGAGTAAATTAATTTCTTATTAAAAGAAAACCGATTTAATATATAAAAAAAATCTTTTAATTTAGCCCACAAAGGTAATTGCCATTATTTTGTTTTTATTTAGTTTTTTGTTTAATTATTTGTGTAGTCAAAGTGGTTGAGAATAACCATCTGAACAATAACAAAAAATATATAAGTGATTTAATTTTTTTAATTCTTTAGACGTATTTGCTTTTGCGTGTCATTGATTTGCATATATAAAATTTGATGTTTTTCATGCTTTTACGTGTCATTGATGTTTTAAATTTTTTCTTCGGATTTATCTCTTAACACAAGTATTGTTAAGAAAGTAGACGGTCTTGCTCTTACGCCAAGTGTGAATTATTGCATCTTTTTGAACAAATTTCATTGCTTTTTATATTTAGTTTGATTTTGGCTGGGTCTCACAAACTCCTGGTTTTATAACGATAATAATTAGATTTAAACCATAATCTATATATGTAATTGATAAATTTATTGTTTAATTTTAGGTGTAAATCAACAAATTATGGTATTAATTTTGTATTTATGGTAGAATTGGTTGACAAACTATATATGAAATTCCATTAATCGAGTATTAAATTATCTGAGTATTAATTTTCGTATTTATGGTCTATATTTAAAATTTTACTATCTTTGTACATAAATTTATTTTGAGATTTTGTTTATTCTATCGTATCTATGTTTTTAAAAAAGGTTTCCAGTTTAGATATGGATAACATCTTGGTTCATATTTTTATAATATATTTAGTTTAAAATGACTTGAAATAATATTGTTGGTAATTACGAAAAAAATAAATTTCTTGTTTTCTATAACTGAAAAATGGGAGATTTATATATATCAATATATATTTTTACAGATCTAGATGAGAAATATGAAATTTCTATATATATATATAGATATATTCATACATCTAAATTGTATATTTAGATACATAAATCTTCCATATTACTGATATTCCCAGAAAAATGGCAAATATGGGATTTCTTGTGTGTATGTCGTTTGTTAAAAAAATTAATAATTAACAAAACTCTAACCTATATTAATTATAAATATCTTTTTCACTTAATGTATATTGTATGCACGTTTGCGCTTTTGATTATTTAGAAATATGTTTTCTAACTTTATTTACATATTAGTTCTGATATTGGAGGATCAGCTTTTAATGTGCCATATGTCTTTTGCGATAGTCAAGATATATACATTTGTTTAATGTTTCAATATATATGTTAATTTTGTTCTAGAGTATAGATCGTCTGGTTTTGTTGTCGTGTTTGTGCATTGGGTGTTTTCTGTTTTATATACAGATTGAGTTTGAGTGGAATATTAATAATACTATACAATTTATAATATAAATTTTTAGGAGCAGTATCGATTTGTTCCATGGGTTTTAAAAACAGTTAGTGGGTGTATTTTTCGATGAAACTTAAGGTTTGTATGTGTTGTGGAAATTGTATGGTTGTATCGAATCTTGTGTGTGATGAGGATGAGTGTGGAGATGGAGACGACGATGAGGATTTAGAGGATCTTAATGAAAAAGTTGCCAGTGATGAGGTCTCTGGTGATGAGAGTTCTCATAGTTTTGATGATTCTTTTGAATTGCACTTCTATAATTTACATGTTTTCATGTATTACATTTTTGAAAATGTATTATATTTGTTTTGTTTTTAAGACATCCATCAAAAGTGTCTCTATTATATGCTTTAACAAAAACAAAATACTACAAAGTGTCTTATATACATAAAGTACATAAAATATTAATAATTAATCAATAAGATCCACACTAGTGGTGTCTCTATTGGGTTTGCTCTAAGAAGACGAATGACGAAGATCATGAAGAAGAAAGAGAAGAACATGAGAAAATTGGAGAAGAAGAAGAAAAAACAGAAAAGAAGAAGAAAAATAAAATTGGTCATGAATAAGATGAAAACAAAGAGTAAGATGTTGGCGAAAATGAAAATAATAAAGAAATAGAAAGAGAAGAAGAAGAGAAATCGGAAAACAAAGAATAAGAAGAACTTAGAGGAGATTAAGATGATTAAAAAGAATTATTAAAGATGAGGAAAAATAAATAAAATTTAAAGAAGAAGATGAAGGCAAAAAAGGAAAACATTGGAAAAGAGGAAGACAAAGGAGAATAAAGCAGAAGATGGAAAAAAGGCAATGAAGAGATAAACGGAAAAAAAGATAACAAAATCTGAGAAGAAGAAATAAAACTGGAAGATAGGGAAGCAAAAATAAAGAGAAGAAGAAGACTAAGTATAAGAAGAATAAGACTAATAATAATATATATGAGATGACAAAGTAGAAGAAACTGAAGATGAGGAAGGAGACAAAGAAAACCTAGAAAAATAAGAAGACGAGGGTGATTAAGAAGAAGAAGTAAAAAAATAGGGAGAAGAAAAATTCGAAGAAGAACGTGAATAAAAATGAAAGAAAGCTGAAGAAGAAGAATAAAAATACGAGAAAAGAATAAGAAGAAACAAAAGAAGGAAAATCTGAGTAAGAAGAAGAAGACGAGATTTAAAAAAACGAAAGCATTAGATGCTGGAAAAAGGATGGATGACGAAGAAGAATAAGGAAGACGAAAGAATGAAAGAAGAAAAAAGAAAAATCAGAAGAAGAAGAAGAAGAAGGCGGATAAGCCAAAGACGTTGAAGATGATGAAGAATTTGAAAAAAAAAACCAAAAATAAAGAAAAACAAGGATGAAGAAGACAAAGTGAAAGAAGGCTAAGAAAAAGAAGAAGAGAAAGATGAGACAAAGAAAAACAGTAAGAATAATGAGTCGAAGAAGATGATGAAGAAAAAAAGGAAGAATACCAAAAAATGAAAAAAGATGATGTAGACAAAGAGTAATAAAATCAGAAAAAAATTAAGAAGACGAATGACGAAGACCATGAAGAAGAAAGAGAAGAACATGAGAAAATTGGAGAAGGAGAAGAAAAACGGATAAAGAGAAAGAAAAATAAAATTGTGCATGAACAATGTGGAAACAAAGAGTAAGATGTTGACGAAAATGAAAATAATAAAGAAAGAGAAATAGAAGAAGAAAAGAATTCAGAAAACAAAGAACAAGAAGAAGTCAGAGGAGATTAAGATTATTAAAAAGAATAATTGAAAGATGAGAAAAAAAAATTAAAAGATAAAGAAGAAGATGAAGCGAAAAAGAAGACGTTGGAAAAGACGAAGAAGAAGACGAAGACAAAGGCGAATAAAGGAGAAGATGGATAAAAGGCGATGAAGAGGTTAACGGAAAAAAAAAAGATGACAAAATCTGAAAAGAAGATAAAAAAACCGGAAGATAGGGAAGAAAAAATTCCAGAGAAGAAGAAGTCTATGTATATGAAGAAGAAGATGAATAAAATGAAAAAGAGGCAAATACAAACTATAAGAGTCATCATAGAACAAATTTGTTTTCTTTTGCTTGTCCTTGATTTAAACAAAATCTTTAATATATGAGATTTTAATTTGAAGAAAATCTTTTAGAGAGAGAGTGAGAGAGAGTGAGAGAGAGAGAAAGGGAGGGAGGGATGGAGGGAGGGAGGGAGGGAGGGGATCTCCCTCAAAAACAAGATCGAGAAAGAGAGGGGGTAGAGAGAGAGAGAGAAAGAAAGGATCTCCCCCAAAAAATCGAGAGAGAAAGGGGAGAGAGAGTGGGATAGAGAGAGATATTGAGAGCAAGAGGGATAGGGAAAATGATACAAAGAGAGATAAAGAGATAAAAAAAGAAAGAGATAGGATCTCCTTTAAAAAAAAGTTAAAGATCATGTGTAATTGCTAGGGAGGACGGAAATGAGATAAGATGAGATGAATCAAACTGAAAAATAAGAAGTTCAAAAAAATGAAGAAGACGAGTGCTAGGATGGGCGAGCGAGGGAGGGGGAGAGGGAAGGGAATGGGAGGATTTAGAGTTCGCACATCACATTATAAACTCTATTATTTTTGTTAAAAAAATCTAAAAGTAGAAAGTTTTTTGATGAAATTTTGGTAAACATATCGTTTTTATATTTTTATAGTTATCATGATTTTCAATGTGCATATCATGAAATTGATTGTTTCTGTTAAAAAATTTAGGAAAAGGAAAGGTTTGATGTTTAGGGTTTGCATATTGCATTAAAAACTTATTGTTTCTGTTTAAAAAAATAATAGTCAAAAGTTATTTGTTGAAATTTTGAGAAACATAACGTTTTAATATTATTGTTAATTTGTTATCATGAGTTTTCAACGTGTTGCTCACGAAAATTTGGCTATTGAGTCCAGTGACATGTAGTATTGTCATGACAATGAATTGGTTTTGAGTGTTTTGAGTGACTGGTGTGTCATTAGAGGTTAGTTTTATTTTTTTATGCGTATTCTGTTTAGTTTCTTAGAGAATAGGCAATAAATTGTTTTCAAAAATGTTTGAGTAGGTGAATATCATATTGCAGATTATGTTTGTATAATTTCAAGTTTTATGTTTGTATAATTTCAAGCTTTATGCTTGATCCTGATTTGTAAGAGGCAGATAATATAAGAATAGTATAAAATCGCTTTGTGATGAGCATGAAAGAGACTGAAAAGCTAAGTAGTTTTAAAAAACTAAATATCAATTATTAAAGCATTGTATTTTATGCTGTTTTTTTTAGTTTATTGTTGTTTAAGTTAGAAAGAACATAATAGACATAAATATTAAATTTGTATATAGATATGCGAGATAGATATATATGACAGAAAGATCAATGAGTCCAATACCATGTAGGTTGAGATAGATATACCCCAAAATTTGTTAATAATTTAATGTGGAAATCATTGACGGGAAGTTTCTTGAGTTTACTTCTATTCATGGTAATTTATACGAAACCATCATTAAATCCATTAATTTTTCTGATTAGGAGAAGTCAGAAAATTATTTAACTCCGTAAAATCAAATAATAAGATCTAGCATTGACTCCGCACTTACATGTATTTCATATTAATGTAAACATGTTTGGTATTTAGACGTATGTATTAATGTTTTTGGATGTGCTGATAAATATTATTCAAAACAATTGTTTATTATGCACTTCGTGCATGGCTAGTCATTGTTGATTTGGACTTTAGAGAGCCAAAACATGATAAAGTTTTCTTCTCTTTTCAAATGTTGCACCTCTCTCATTTGTGCATTCTGTCCAGTCGTTAGGCCCATGGGCCAATGGCTCCGTCAGTTTTAGTTATTCGGTTTCTAAATTTACGATCCATCTGAGTTCTCGGGCCGGGTCAACATGTAATTGTGATTTTGTTTTTGGTAAACAACATCTAATTTAACGCAGGTTTAGTGGAAATCCAATGGTTATAATGTTTTACTTTGCTAAAATAATCGATCAAAGGAATTTGTCATTTAAACTTGAGAATTTGTTTTTGACTTTTTTTTCTACGAACCAGATTGTTATACAACAACACAATTACAAGCTAATAAATAAAATATAATGTAGCATCAATGTTTGGAATAGTATTGCAAGTAGTAATTTTCTTTTGATTATTGTATTCTTTCAAGTATGGTAAATATACGTGGCTTTAGGTCAGGAATGACGTCAGGCCAGGGTCACTGTTTAGCTCAGCTGCAATATGATTAACGAAACCTAGATTTCGAGAATTCAAATATTTTTCTTTCTTTCAACACAAGTATTATAATGCAAAAGCATAATTATTTTTTTTGAAAAAGGGTTTAGAGCCTGAGTTAAGGTCAAATGTGTGAGGCATTTCCAGGATCATAATTATGCGCACATGTTTTTTACATCCGTTGTCAAAACGCTGTTGTGTTTACAAATTTGACCTAGTAAGAAAAGGCATGTTGCACTTGTCATAGTCACAAGACACAACTAATGCGAACGAGAATGTCAACTAAACCGATCAAGAAAATTACAACAATTCAGCTTTTTCTTTTTATATATTAATTTCTTTGTGGTTTCTTTTTTAATATATAATTTTAATACATATCTGGTTAGAGATTAAAACTAAAATGTTACTAGTGGGAGGGAGTAGTACTAGAGTTTGTAGTTGAAGAAAGCAGCTAAATTACTACTCGTTATGATAAATTCTTCTGTTTAAGGTAATTAATTATTAGGTCGCATTATGAGACAAGAATGGACAGAGAAAGTAATTTAAAATAAAGACAAGCAAAAACAAGAATTATTTTGAGCTAGAAAAAAAAGAGAGTATATATTAGAATAGATCCATAAGACCACCTCCACTGGAGTATATTAGAAGGGTTTCATAAAGATAAAAAATTTAAAAAAAAAAAGAAAAACAAGAGGGAAAAACAACAAACGTTTCTCAAAATACAACTTTTAGAAACGTATGTTAACAAGTGTCGAATTATTATTTGCTCATTCTTTCTTTTTTAAAATTTTTTTAAATTTTAATTAAATATATAAGTTATATTAGTTTTATATATGAAAGAGACGAGAAAAAGTAACTCCACCGCTGGAGATGTTCTAAGTGATAAAAAACATATTTATAAATTTCCATGAATTTTAATTATTATTTGTTGGATATCTATTTTTCTCTTTTTCTTAAGCAAGAAAACAGAGCAATATATAAACTGGCATTAGTCTTTACAAACTTTACTTACAATTATATAAATATAAACAAAAGATATAAGCTGTGCACAAAAAAAAAAAAAAAAGATATAAGCAGATAGATCTCTACACATTTTTTGCTTATGCTAGACACTAAAAGTCGATAACCCTTTTTGCACTTTTCAGCTTCTTCTTGTTCCTGTTCGAGGTACATATTTACATTTCAGAGCATATCTAAAACAATATTAAAATTTGGGATTTCATAGTTTTTATTTGCATTATAATCTTTATAATTATACACCATTTGGTAGCCCGCGCATATTACGCACAAATGTCGACATAAAATATAAAATCTCTTTAGATATAAGATCAAATTCCAAAATATGCAAACACAAATATTGGTGTTCGTAAACTAATTTTTCCTTCTCTTAAAATATTATATTTGTTGTGATGAATTTATCTGAAAATTCATATTCGAGGAGTTAGAAGAATTGGTATACTCAAACCATTAAATATTAGATTTAAAATGACGATACAACGTAAATATGTGTGATTGCTGACAGTCACAACTAACGAAGGTTTATTATTTTAGAAGAGGTTATTCAATTTGAGAATCTAATAAAATTTGAAAGAATTGAAGTTTTTTTTTTAATTTTTGTGTTATTCAATTATGTATTTTATAAATTATTTTAAATTAATATGTTATTAAATATATTATTTGTATGCATTTTATTAAATTACACTGAGTTCTCGTGTTACTCAATTTATTTATTTTCGAATTCTATTAAATATTTAGGTTATTCAATTTTATAATAGATTTGATTTTTTTTAATAGGTTTAGAATAGCTTTGAAGTATTATCATTTAGAAGGAATTTAATAGAATCTCAGCTAAAATTGTAAAGAATCAATTCTTATCATTATTGCTCTAATTTTGATAAAATTGTTTCAATTCCAACAAACTATAAATTCTTCAAAACCAATTATTTTTAAAATTTTATACATGAATTCAATAATCTAATACCCCTCCTTAATTTTCTAACTTGCGAGTAATAATCGAATTCAAAGATACTGAGTAAAAGTGTAAGACCACAAAATCATCCATACATATTACTTGTCGTGTTTTTCTAAATTAATCTGCCTATATGATTTTTTAATTAATCTATTTTTTTAAAAATAATAGTTCTTTAAAGAATTAAAAGAAGTGATAGAGCAGTTTAAATCACTACAAATAAATTTTCTTCCAGTAGTTTCCCAATTAACGAGAACACGCACAAAATCGCTACAACAACTACATATCCATCGTTTCACAATTCCAAACTCATGTGCAATAAACATACCAAACAATACCATTTTTAAGTAATTAAACCATTCGGTTTAGATCAATCAACGGGTTTGAATGGTATGCAACTTTTTCACGTTTTCACGTTTTGGAAACTTGATTCTGTTATTTTTTACTATTCATGTTTTTCATCACATTTTCACATTTTTATGTTTTTGAAACGTGATTCCGCTAGCGTGTTAAAAATATAACTAAAAAAAACAAAACGTAATTAATCTACTAAAGTAGCTTTTTAGCGTTTCACAATTATTCAGCTAAAATATTATTCAGTTCAGTTCATTCCGCTAGTAATTTTTCAGTTATTCCGTTATTCTGTTATTCATCTGACATACCAGTCAGACCCAACGATTTCATTAAAAGTAATGAAAGAAATTAACAGGGTAATCAACCATAATAAATTTTATTCTCATCAATCATACTTACTTTATAAATAATAGTATATCTAAATTTGGAAAATATTTCTACTAGTTCTTTTGTTTATAATTTTAGTCCTAATAATTTTATGTCTTCCTATCAAAATATTTTACATATATCCTTATGAATTTTACTTTGACATATAAATTTAAACCAATTTCACACAACAAAAATATTACATTAAATAAATCAAATAAGAAAAATAAAGTTTTACAAGAAAATAAAGTTACATAAACACATAAATGATTAAAATACCACAATAAAACTATTTTTTAATCAGCACATAATTATAAAGTTTTTTTTTTAATAAAAGTGCGGCGTTTTGGGAAATCGTCTAGGCTAAAGAATATTGACAACACAAAACAAACTGAAAATGTGGTTAGTAAAAAGTTTTACGGCTTCGGAAGCCACAGTCTCCGGCGGACACGAGCGACGGAGCAGAGCCATCGTCGCCGAGAAAGAAACAGAGATCCAAGTCCGGCAAAACGAGCCTCTCCCTTTGACGCACCAGAATACTTCGTCTCGTCATTGTTTTGTCTCCTTCTTGGTCTGACCTCTATGATACTGCTCTCTCTAAGAAAATATTATCTCAACTCATAGATTTGGAAACTCATTATGTCTTTCCTCTGTTCTTTTACAAGCTTGGGATCATAAGGAGTGTGTGAAAATCTAATGGCTTCAGACAGAAGCCTAAACAGAGATGCAAATATAGTAGAAGAGGTTTCTGAGACCAAAAGAAGCAGAGAAGAAGAAGTGAAGAAAACAGAGAAAGATCATGAGAAAACAAAAACGGTGCCGCTTTACAAGCTCCTTGCTTTTGCAGATTCCTTTGATTTTCTCTTGATGATCCTCGGGACGCTTGGATCTATTGGAAATGGTCTCAGCTTCCCTATCATGACCATACTGTTCGGAGATGTAGTAGATGCTTTTGGACAGAATCAGTCTAGTTCAAATGTTACAGACCAAGTCTCCAAAGTAGATCAAATGATGCTTTCTCTTAACTTGAGATCGATTTTAACTGTTGCTAATAATATGAGTTTCTTAACTCACTCACTCAACAGGTAGCTCTGAAGTTTGCATGGCTTGGAATCGGTACTTTCGCGGCTGCTTTTCTCCGTAAGTTCTTTAAAAAAATTAAAACTTTTGGTTAAAAGAAAACAGAGCTTTAACGTTGTTGATGTAAATAATTGTTCAGAATTGTCTGGTTGGATGATTTCTGGAGAAAGACAAGCAGCAAGAATACGGAGTATGTATCTAAAGACAATACTAAGACAAGATATCGCCTTTTTCGACGTGGATACAAATACCGGAGAAGACGTTGGAAGAATGTCCGGTGACACTGTGCTAATCCAAGACGCCATGGGAGAGAAGGTACAAATTACAAACTATGTGTTTAAATGTTATGCAGTTTTTTTTATATACAGTTTTCACAATTTCAAAACGCGATTTTGCTATTTTGATTTATACTGTTCATCACATTTTAATAATTTTTATGTTTTTAAAATGTTATTCTGCTAACTTGTCAAAAATATAACTAAAAAGGTAAAATGTGATTAATCTAAAAATAGTTTTTAAACATTTTATAATTAATCAACAAAAAAATATTTAGTTAAGTTTGTTCTACTAATAATATTTTAGTTATTTTATTATTATATTATTTATTTGATATACCCAAAAAAAATATTTTATAATTTCAAACTTGGGGGAATTGCTGAATATGACTCAAAACTTGAGTTAAAATGCAAAATTAGACCCTCTATTGCATGTTTGACAAAAATAACTCACATGAGTAGTAAAATTACAACTTTAACCCTTATGACCAAACAAAAAAACGCCAGCTCCAATTACTATTTTATCCCAGAGAAGTCTACTTTCTAATAATATATTTATAATTAATTTTAAAAATCATAAAAAATAATTTGATAAAAAAAATTAGATACATAACAACAAATATATATTTTTTTACACCTATTAAAAATAAAATTTGACAGAAAATAATCAATTTAAATCATCATAGATAAATTAGGATAAAAATCAATACTAAGAGACTTCTCGAGTAGATTTCTCGGTTTCTCGAGTAGACTTCTCGAGTAGACTTCTTGGAGAAGTCTACTTAAACGAATTTTTTTACATATATAAGGAGAGTTTAACCTAATTGTATTAACAATAAAGTCTCTCTCTGTCTAAAAAACGCATCTCTCTCTCTTCTCCCTTCTCTTTGGCCATGAATTTCTTCTCCTTCCTCTCTTGCTATCAATATCCTCTCCATCCTCTCTATCTTGTATTCCACCTCCTCTCACTTGCAGGTTATGATAGTGGTAAACAAATCTGAGCTTTTGTGTTCTTTTTTTTGTTTGCTTTGTGTTCATATTGCAAATCTGAGCTTATTATTATAGATTTGAGCTTATGGTTGTAGATCTAAGTTTATTTTTGTAGATCTGAGTTTATTGTGGTATAAATTTTGTAGATTTTGTTGTAGATCTGATTTTTGTTGCAGATCTAAATTTTTTTGTTATTGTTGCATAGCTGAATTTTGTTGATTTTTGTACAAATCTGAATGTTATAAATATAGTAGATTATTATTATAGATCCGAGCTTATTATTATAGATTTGAGCTTATTATTGTAGATCTAAGTTTATATTTGTAGATCTGAGTTTATTGTTGTATAAATTTTGTAGATTTTGTTGTAGATCTAAATTTTTTGTTATTGTTGCAGAGCTGAATTTTGTTGATTTTTTTGCAGATCTGAATGTAGACTTCTCGATCTCGAGCAGATTTCTCGAGTAGACTTCTCGATCTCGAGCAGACTTCTCAAGCAGACTTCAGTTGCATACATAGTTTTCAGAGATTTTAGTTTAGTAGTAATTTCTTATGCCAATTCTAAGATTTATAATCAGTGATCCTTAAATGTTTGTTTGTTTAGAGGGTTATATTCTATGTAATATTGAATTGTATTGAATATTTTGTATCAAATTCATAAATTATCTATTCTATAAAATAAACTTCTCCTGTCTCGAGTAGACTTCTTAAAGACATTAATTTTACATAACTTAAAAATGATTCAGAGGGACATTTCTCCCATTTATATCATATAACTTGTCAACCGAGTAGACTTCTCTTGTCTCGAGTAGACTTCTAAAGTAGACTTCTCCTGTCTCGAGTAGACTTCTAAAAGACAATAATTTTACATAACTTAAAAGTGATTCAGAGGGACATTTCTCCCATCTATATCACATAACTTGTCAACCGAGTAGACTTCTCTTGTCTCGAGTAGACTTCTGAAGTAGACTTCTCCTGTCTCGAGTAGACTTCTTAAAGACATTAATTTTACATAACTTGGTAACAACATTCGCCCTCCTTTGCTATTCGCCCTCCTTTGCCAACATTTACCAAGAAGCTCATCATGTGTGCAACCATCTCTTAAGAACAACATTCGCCCTCCTTTGCTATTATCCACCTCGAACTGCCACACTGGTTCACTCTTAACCCATTCTCCATAAACAGCGGGTATGTGAACCTTTCTCTGTGAAAAAGAACAAAATCCAAACCACAATAGACATCAAAATTGAATAAGTAGACTTCTCTGAAAGTCGGATGAAGTCTACTTTCTAGAGTAAACTAAGAAGTCTACTCTTAATAAGCTAAGTATCATATAAAACATGAAAACTGATTCTACTATACCTATAAAATACAAATATGTAAAACTTATACATAAGCAAAAAAACTTAATAACAGAAGCTTAGGATCACAAAAATCTTAAAAATTCGTTATATATTGTATAAAAATGAATTTTTTGAAAAATCAAGAAAAGTAGACTTCTCGGATAAAAGTAGACTTCTCGCAAGTTAGTTTTGCAATTGCCAAAAGATTAGTAGACTTCTCTGGCAGGTCATTTTTGCAATTGAAAAATATTTGACTTTTTGGTCAATTGCAAAAATGACCTGCGAGAAGTCTACTTACGAAAGTAGACTTCTCCGCGAAGTTTACTTTTCAGAGTAGATTTCTCGCAGGTCATTTTTGCAATTGAAAAATATTTGACTTTTTGGTCAATTGCAAAAATGATCTGCCAGAAGTCTACTTACGAAAGTAGACTTCTCGGAGAAGTCTACTTTGCATAGAGAAGTCTACTCTACAAAGTCAAAGGTTGGTCAATTGCAAAAATGATCTGCTTCTAAAGAAGTCTACTCGAGAAGTCTACTCCTTTTTTTGCAATCAAAGGAAATGGAGTAGACTTCATTCGGACCAAAAGAAGTCTATTTTTTCATGCGGTCAATTGCAAAACTAACCTGGACGTTGACTAGTAGACTTCATTCGGACCGAGAGAAGTCTACTTTCGGAGCATTTTCGTAAATAAGTGAGGAAGATGAGAATTAGTTGGTCATTTGGATTTCCGAAAATAAAAGAAATTAATTAAAACAATGGCAATTTCGTAAATAAACGAAACTATTAAGGATTGTTTGGACACAAAATGACAAATGTTGGGAAACTGATTTTTGTGGGTTAAATTTGCATTTCAAATCAAATTTTAGATCATTTTTGCAAGAATCCCTTGAAACTTTTGGGTATATTTCCCAAAAACGGCAAAAAGATTTAACGAGACGGCGACGTTTTAAAGCTATACAACTTGTATCAACATTTGCTGGAGGCTTCGTGATCGCTTTCACAAGAGGATGGGGGGCGAAGCCACTTACATCACTATGGGTGCAAGTGCACCCATTATTTTTTTAATTTTTTTTTTATATTTTGACAAAATTTAAGCTAAAATATATCAGTGCACCCATTGATTTGTCTCTTTAATGTTTATTATCTTTGTATTTACTAAAAGATTTTCAGCTAAAATGGATCAGAAGCAAGATAGGGCTTGTGAGTCAAGAACCGGTTTTGTTCACGTCAAGCATCAAAGACAACATCGCGTACGGTAAAGAAGACGCTACGATCGAAGAGATCAAAGCGGCTTCGGAGCTTGCGAACACGTCTAAGTTTGTGGATAAGCTTCCTCAGGGTCTCGATACAATGGTTGGAGAACACGGCACTCAACTCTCAGTTGGACAGAAACAGAGAATCGCAGTGGCTAGAGCGATTTTGAAAGATCCAAGAATCTTGCTTTTAGATGAAGCTACAAGCGCGCTTGATGCAGAGTCTGAGAGAGTGGTTCAAGAAGCGCTCGATAGAGTCATGGTTAACCGGACTACAGTTATTGTCGCTCATCGGTTAAGCACCGTGAGAAACGCCGACATGATCGCTGTGGTTCACCAAGGGAAGATCGTAGAGAAAGGCTCTCACACGGAGCTACTAAAGGACCCAGAAGGGGCTTATTCTCAGCTGATTCGTCTGCAAGAAGAGAAGAAATCGGATGAGAATCGAGCGGATGAGAAAAACGTGTCATTCAAGCAATCTAGTTTGAGTAACTCGTCTCTAAACAAAGGAGACGATTCTTTCAACATGTTTGGTGAGGATCAAGTTCAAGATCAAGAAGAGGCTACTATAGAGCCCAAAACCAAAGAAAAGAAAGTCTCGATTCGCAGGATCGCTGCTCTAAACAAACCAGAGATCCCGGTTCTTGTACTCGGAGCAATATCAGCAGCAGCAAACGGAGTTATACTTCCTATATTCGGAGTACTAATCGCAAGCGTTTTAAAAGCGTTTTTCAAACCGCCCAAGGAGCTAAAAGAAGACACGAGCTTCTCGGCGGTTATATTCATGGTTCTTGGTATAGTCTCCGTCATCGCTTACCCAGCGCAAACCTTCTTATTCGCCATAGCTGGATGTAAACTGGTGCAGAGGATAAGAAGTATGTGTTTCGAGAAAGTGGTTCGCATGGAAGTTGGATGGTTCGATGAGCCAGAGCATTCGAGTGGAACCGTAGGGGCAAGGCTATCAGCAGATGCAGCAGCGATACGTGGCTTAGTGGGAGATTCTTTGGCTCAGATGGTTCAGAATCTCTCGTCTATATCGGCTGGTTTGATCGTTGCGTTCTTGGCTTGTTGGCAGCTGGCGTTCGTCGTCCTCGCGATGCTTCCGCTTATTGCACTCAATGGGTTTCTATCTATGAGGTTCTTGAAAGGTTTCAGCGCAAATGCAAATGTAAAAGTAGTTTCCTTCTTTTTTTTTTTTATAGTTTTTATACGTTTTACAATAGTTAAAGCTTTCTCTCTCTCTCTGATGGCAGAAAATGTACGGAGAAGCTAGCCAGGTGGCCAGAGCAGCGAGTGGCCATCGCGAGAGCTATCGTCAAGGATCCAAAGGTATTGCTGCTTGACGAAGCCACGAGTGCTCTTGTCGCTGAGTCTGAGCGCGTGGTTCAGGACGCGCTTGACCGGGTTATGGTTAACCGGACGACAATTGTAGTGGCTCACCGGTTATCGACGATTAAAAATGCTGACGTAATCGCCGTCGTTAAGAACGGAGTCATCGTTGAGAAAGGGAAGCACGAGACTTTGATCAATACTTCCTCTGTTTTTTTAAGTCTGATGTTTTAGTTTTTTTCTTTGTTTTTAAAAGGTTAGATATTTTAGGTTTTAAATAATATATTTAGTTTTTTAATAACCAATAAAAAAGAGAGAAATAGTATTACTATATTATTAAAAAAATAAAAGTAGCTAAAAAGTAAAATAACAAATAATTATTAAAGTGTGTTTTAATATATGTGAAGATGAAAACATCAAACTTAAAAAAACGGAGGAAGTATTAAAGACGGTGTCTATGCTTCGTTCAAGTAGCTGTAATCTATGTTGCATGGAAACGGAAATGGGTACGTGAAAGCGGAACGTTTCGAAATGCGGAAACGTTATTTTAAAAAAATATAGAAATAAAAACATTTTGGAAACATATATATATATATATATATATTAAGTATTAAAGATCTAATTGTAAGTAGAATATTTAAATCAACAAAATCTAATATATAATTTTTACATAATTAATAAACTATAAAAATTAAAATATGTAAAGTCAAAAATTTTGAAGATTTTCTTTATTATCAATTTTATTAGTTTCATTGACCAATCTATCTCTAATTCTAATTCATCGAAAGAATAATTTCAAACTTAATAATTTCAAAATTAATCTTAATTACCAAATCAAAATATTTATTATTTACTATAAATAAGTAAATTGATTATTTTATTTAATTTTTATAATTATTTATTTATTCTATAAAAATAAGAAATTAGTTTTTATCTTCTTTTCAAAATGGAAACGTGTGTTTCTAAAATGGAAACGCGTTTCCAAAGTGTTTCTAAATTAGATTTTTAGGAAACGTGATTTTTCGTGTTTCCGACGAGTTTCTGAGAGTTTCGGTTTCCGAAACATTTCGGAAGCGGAAAACATACCTGGGACGAAGTTTCCATGCAACCTAGGCTGTAATGGAGAAAGAAAAAAAAAAAGCAAACAATATGATTGGTCAATAAATGACGTGTAGAAATTTTAAGAAGAAATCGATTCTCTCTAGAGAGGTACAGGAGTCGACTCTCCCCCTTCTCTCGCCACGTGTCTTGATTGGTCAATATATTTTTTTTTATAAAAAATCGTTTTCCTAAAAAAAGAATTTATTTTTAAGAGTCCCATATAGTGCTCTCCATTAATGCAGCTTCATCTGAGTACCGCTTCTTAAAAGTCTATATCTTTAACTAATTAGTATATGAATATCGTTTTGGCTATTATTATAACTTTTAATAATAATATAGATCCAGGATTGCAAAAAACGAAGATGTGGATACTTAATGTATAAAAAAATCCATATTTTTAACGTAGGTTTGCTGTTATAAATAGATGGGTAATTTTAATCTATAATCCAAATAATGAGTAAATAAAGAATATGGAGCAAATAAATAAAAATTAAATCAGTATATATTATGTTTGCATATTATTCCATATTTACCCCTATAAAAATAGATGACGGTGACTTGTTTTATTTGATGTAGTTTTAGAGAATAACTATTCGATTATCATGCTAACAAATATGACATCGTGATAACTGTTATATATCATACTAACTAATATAACGCTTAATCATCATATTATTTAAACATCAAGTTAACCAGTTATCATATAATAAAAAATGAAATGATCACTTTGATAATGTTATCATATAACAAAATTATCGTATAAACCTAGTGAACATGATAACTATTGTGCTAATGTTGTTATCATTTCATGAAAAATATGAGTTAACTTTGTTAACTGTATAAGTTAGCAAAATTATATTAATAACCATTTAATTCACCAATCATCAGCAATTATTGCTAACACCATTGTTAGCATCGTCCATTATCTTCCCCCATCGTCTTTCATCACAACCACACTTCCTCCACTATCAGTGATCACCACCAACACCACCACAAACATCACCTTCATCATCGATCATCACCACCACCACCACCATCACCGACGACTCCATCATCACCACTGACTATCATCACTATCGACAAAACCACCACTGCCATCGATAATCATCACTAAAATTATCGATCAAAGCTAAAGATAAGATGAACAAAAAATCAATTTGTTTGTGTTAATTAGAAAGAAAGAAAAAGGGTAATAAAGATATTTTATTTTTATTTAGGTAAGAAGAGAGAGAAATGAACTTTTATTCCTATTTAATTATCGGATTATTTGAGGCTAGTTATTACAATAGATTACAAGTATAAATAAAATGATGAACAAATGTTTTTTGATGATTGGTTTTAATTTAAAGTTTGAAACCCCACTAATGATTGATTTTATTTAAATCCCACTAACTCCAAAATCCAAATTTTAAGTGAGAAGTCGAATCGTTTTGGACTTCTCGATAAAGCCCGGCCCATTAAGAGGAGTAGAAAATCAATAAAAAGAAATTTCAACAGACGCCAGAAGATAGTCAAGAGTCCAGAGAAACGAGCAAGAGAGAACGACAGAAGCACCTGGCATAGTACTCGCGTGTTCTCACGCGCCGTCGCAATTCTCCGCCTTTCAACGCCGACATTGCCTCTACAGTCTGTTCCGTTTCGTGTTCAACGGCCACGGTTCTCTGGTAAGCAGTCGAAACCCTCATCTTCTTCGCATTAAACCCTAACCCTCTCTCACACCATTTCTTTAGCTCGCATTAACGCTACTTGTTCTCTGGAAGAGAAGAAGAACGTTTTAATTAGGGTTTCGTTGGTGCGTTTGTGACCGTTTCATAGGTTCAAACGAGTGACTTTCGCAAAAAAAAATTCGGGGTTTTTCCTCAGAGAAACTGTTTTTCTGCTGTTCTCGGTGTGTCTTTGCTGCTAGTTTAGTTGCATGGTTTCTAAATATGTAATCTTTGATAGATTTGCTTGGGTCTGTGTTTTACTTGACTGTGCTTTGGTTTCATTTTCTCCTCATTTTGAAGATTTATTTTCATTTTCGTAGCTTGTTTCTTCGGCATTTGACAGAAGAAGGAAGATCAATTGTCTTAAACCCTTAAAGCGACTCACTTTCTGCGTTTTTTCTGCTATTAGCGGTGTGTCTTTGCCTCTAGGTTAGATGTTTTGGGTCTGAAATGTTGATTTTGCTTTGGGTTTGTCTTTTTGCTTTTGGCTCTTCTTTTTGCTTTGAAGGTGATTCTGATGAGGAGCTTATAATCTGTCTTTCGAGTCTCTCTCATGCGATTGAAATTAGTTTCTTCTTTTATGTTGTTGCAGAGACTTTTTGGCGGAAACAATGGCACCAAATGCGCATGTCAAGAAAGCTTTTAGAGCTATGAATGCTCTCGGAATAGAGGATAAACAAGTGAAGCCGGTCTTGAAAGAGCTTCTCAGTCTCTACGACAAGAACTGGGAGTTAATTGCCGAGGACAATTATAGGGCTCTCGCTGATGCTATCTTCGATGCCCAAGAGACTCAGGTATCTCTACTTGTCTCCTTGACTCACTGAAATTTTGATTTCTGTAGTTTATATCACCTTGACATTTCCAGTTTGATTTATCACATGAAAGGCTACTCAAGAAAGAAATGAACTGGAAAAGAAAGCTGAATGCAGCGTATGTTCTTTCCTCAAGAATCTTCCTTTTTATTAGTTTCTTTTGCTTTGTTATCATCATGCTTCAGCTTAATTGTTGATCAAATGTTTTCAGGGTTCAGAACCGGACAGAGGAAAGAAGGCACGTGAGGTATGCAAAACGGAATATACCTTTTGTTGTGTTAATTAATGTTTTCTTCCTTGTTCTTGCATTTTTTATTCAGTTTCTGTCATGTTTTTATCAGTCTGATGAGGAAGATGAAGATGCATTGGATGAGCTTGAACCCCCTTTGAAGAGGCTGCGACGTAGAGGTGAAGGAGGCTCTTCTTCGGGTTTGAACAGTCCTGACTTGGGCAGTCACAGTTTGGATGAGCCTACGACTATTCATGGCGGAGACACTGCTCCTATCTTATTGCCATTTCATCCTCTGTCAAACGAAAATGACCCTAATGCTGGTGCGCCTATTGTTCCAAAAGACGAGCGCTTTGCAGATATGCCATTCAGCTCTACTCATCAAGGTGTGATCTTAATTTTCCGTGCGTTGCTTAGTTTGTTGTAATCAAGTGTTGACGGTACTTACTTCAAAACTGATATGTGTATTGTATGGTTTTCTCTTGGTGTCTTTGTCTAGATTCCGTAGAAATTGGGAACTCTTCAGCTGCCATATCTGAGATGGAGAATACAAATGGACATGTGGAAGTTGGTGAAACAGTAAATACTGTTGATGGTGCTAGTACTAATGGCGTTCCTCCTACAATTACCGAGAGGTCTAGTGAGCACAAGCTGGTTGCAACTGTAGCAGAATCTTCAGCACTGGAGTTAGCTTCTTCTCATACGGGTGAGGTTAAGATCAACCTCAGTTTTGCTCCTGCAACTGGAGGATCCAGTCGACATCTACCTTCTATGGAAGAACTACGAAGAGCAATGGAGGAGAGGTGTCTCAGATCATACAAGATACTGGACCCTAACTTTTCTGTGGGTCGCTTTATGGATGACATATGTAGCTGCTACTTGGAACTGGCAACAAAGGCGGAAAATTCAGCTAACCAGTCGCCAGAAAACTTGCCATTTCTCACGAAGAATGTGGATGCATTGAAGAAATCTGTAGCAACGATGGCTTTTGCTTCTAATGGCAGTAGTGACCTGGCAACAAAGGCGATAAATTCATCCAACCTGTCGCCAGAAAACCTGCCGTTCGTCAATGAAACCGCAGTAACTATGGATTTTACTTCTGAGGGCAGTAATGATGAAAACGGTGAAGTTGGTGACACCATGGGTTTAGTAGTTGTTCCTGAGTGCCAAATATCTGCGGATGACTGGAGATTGATAAGCGGCGTCAGTGACGTCACTCTAGGAAGAGAAACTGTTGAGATTCCTTGGGTGAATGAAGTCAATAGCAAGGTTCCTCCAGCCTTTCGTTACATGCCACAAAGCGTTGTGTATCGAGATGCCGAAGTAAAGTTTACACTTATGAATATCAGCGATGACCAGTGCTGCTCCTCTTGCTGTGGAGATTGCTTGGCTCCGTCAATGTCATGCCGTTGCGCAACTGCACTTAGCGGCTTTGCGTACACAGTAGATGGCATCCTGCAGAAAGATTTCCTTGAAGAGTGTGTCTCTGAGGCCCGTGATCCGAAGAAACAAGTGGTTCAGTTTTGCAAAGAATGTCCATTTGAGAAGGCCAAAACCGAAGAGGTTGTGGAACCTTGCAAGGGGCATCTCAAGAGGAAGGTCATTAAAGAATGTTGGATCGGTTGTGGCTGCGTTGGGAGATGTGGCAACCGAGTTGTTCAACAGGGTATTCACAACAAGCTGCAGGTATTTACACCGCACCAAAACGAAACTGATTAATGATCAGTCTGACTTGGACTTAAACATTTGATAGTTTCTGATGCCTAAATCTTGTTTATTCATATTGGTGAAATCTGTACAACCCATTTACTTTTCATTCATTGAATCAGGTGTTTTACACGCCCGATGGGAGAGGCTGGGGTGTCAGAAGTCTTGAAAAGCTGCCTAAAGGAGCATTTGTCTGTGAGTTTGCTGGAGAGATATTGACCATTACAGAGCTGTTCCAACGTAGATCTGAGAAACAAACTTCTCCGGTAATATTGGATGCATACTGGGGTTCTGAACAAGGTTCAGGTGTTAACGAAGCTCTTTGTCTTGACGGAACACAATATGGAAATATTTCCAGGTTCATCAATCACAGGTAAAAAGGGCTTTTACGAGTACAATCTCTTAAAAACGAGTTTTGATTCCTTTGGTTTGGCTTTCGAAACTCAAATTGTTGAACTTATAATTGGCTTTTCCTCTCATTTCGTGTGCTATGTCTGTGTATGTACAGATGCGGGGATGCAAATCTGATTGAGATCCCAGTTCATGTGGAGAATATGGATTTGCACTACTATCATGTATGATTCAAAATCCTGGTTTCATTTCTAGTCTTTTGCTTATAGAAGTCTCATCGGTTATGTGGAAACTATAGAAACGAGAAGCTAATATGTGTGTTTTCCTCAGGTTGCGTTCTTCACAACAAGAGAGATCGATGCTATGGAGGAACTTACCTGGGTGTGTTAGAACTTTCTCAAACCCGCTCGCTCTTAAACAGATTTGTTTTCCTTACAAACTTTCACAAGTTCGGATTCAAGTCATTTTTTTCTTTTTTGGGTGTGATTCTGTCTGAGAAGTGTTGCACTTAAACCTGCAGGATTATGGCGTGGAGTTCAACGATCATGTGTTCCCCACGCTTCCGTTCCATTGTCGATGTGGTAGCGACTCTTGTCGAAATGTTATGCAGATAAGCAGTGAGAGTGAGTAATCATAAAAAGATTTTTCTGTTAAAATGTTAATGTCAGTTTTTGGTACATGGACTCTTGATTTCTCCTGCAACTAACAAGCAAATCTCTGTTGGTGCAGAGACCAAGAAGTCCAAGAAGAAGAAGAAAGCATGAGAACTTATTACGTTGGTTGTTTTTTGAGTACATGTGATGGCCCAGTCTCTTTTTGTGAATTTGGCAAAATTTTCCAGTAAAAACTATATGATTGCCGTTCCGACTAGGCAAGTAAGTAAAGTCGGTGGGTGGGTCCATCTTAGGAGTAGATTATCAGAGGATGACACTTGTGTTTTGTATAGCTTAAGCTCTTATGTATAGCGTAAGTTAGGTTTTAATGGCCTCTATGCCTTTGGTTTAACCATTTATGAAAAAAGTAAGCTTAACTTAATGGCTAAAGCTTTTGGTTTAAACATTGCAAAGTATCTTTTATTTACATAATTTAGAATAGAAACTTGAAAATGTTCTCAACTGAAGAGCTCTCCGTATATGAATGAATATGATATTACAAGGAATGATAATCCAAATAAGTCCGAACATAATCAGAGCTTATATTATACCGCGTGCTGTGCTTCAACGGCTTTACCCACCAAACCCACCAAATCTCGGTTATGAGGAGACAACAACAAACAACAGAAGTTTCCCTTCGTCTTTCAACAAATGCAGTTTATAAAACGCAGAGATTTGAATCCTATTGTTAAAAAAGCGAACCAAATCATTTATACTTGACAGTGGAATCTATTAATAGTATGAGTCATTATCATAGTAATTGGTTGTGATTTGTAGCAATTCTATATTTTCATGAGGCTATTGCACAGTGGAATCTAGTAAAAGTTCACATACTTTCAAGCATATTTGTTTTTTTTAATCTTCGCTACAAGTACTTTCTTCTATACGAACTCTTGAACAAAGTTTCACGAAAACCTATAACAAACAATTGATCACAATCAATAAGTGCATACGATTCAGAATCATAACAACTTTGCATTAATCTATTCAAGTGAAACAGAGATCGGTTCAACTACACATAAATCTTAAATATGAAACAGATACACATAAAAGACAGAAGAGTTGGAGGCAAAGGGGAGTGTATTGGAAGAGCAGATTCAACATCAAAGACTCTTTTTAACGCTTGGAGTTGCAAAGACAGTTTCAAGCAGTCAGTGTATTTGAGAGCTCTTCTCCTCTCCTCAAGTCATTACTTTGCCCTTTAAAAAAATACCCAAACGTTCATCTGTTTTAGCCGTTGATGGTGAAACATTATGGTTCTTGATTATTATTTAAACCTTTCTAGTTAATGGTTGATGATTATCTTCTCTGGTTGCAAAAGTGTGATCCTTTCGCAGCAGAGCTTTTCTGTGTTAACCCATGTTAAGTACAAATCAAGACAAGTTCCTATGCTCTGCAATTCCACAGTTTTTCTTCTAACTAGTCAACACAATCTCTGGCTAATATTGATTTCTGCGCCAAAGTTTGGAACAAATGTCGGAATCTCTCTGTAAGCAACACTCCTTTTGCATATCAAGCTGGAGATGGAGGCAACAGTAGCAATATCAATTCCACAATATCTGAAATATGGAAATCAAGAAATGAGACTTCTGCAAGGTATTTGGTGGAGCTTCAGGTGAATCTCCGCTTCAGTGTGCTGCAATGGCTAGGCGGTTTCATTTAATATTTCAAAAAGTTAGTGATCTATCTCCTTCAGGAATATGCCTAGAGAAGTTAATTAATTGATAAATTAATAATTTATTAATGTATAAAGATATTTTCAATTTAAATTTTTAACTTTCATCAAGAGATAATAAAAAATATTTTTAATAGTGTAAAATTTGTTCAGAAAATGTCATATTTATAAATTTGAAAGATTATTCAAACAATATTTAGAATTTAAAATAACAACAAAATCATATTTTACTACAATACATTACTTATATATGGTTAGATGTATTCATGCGTAATTATTATCGTTCCTCAATTCCGAAGATTTATCCATGGTTAGTGCCTATTTGCAAAGTATTGTCATTCGTTTTGAGAAATTGCATTTGTCAATAACATAACTAAAGGAGATTCTTTTTGTTAAAATGTTAATTTACATTATTATTGGGATTATATATTTATATAGAAGTTTCAAAAAATTTATTATTTTATTATTTTATCAAATTTTGTTAATTTTTATGTTAACCCGATTTGAAATTAGTAAAATTTATTAATTTATAACATCCACTAATTTATCAAATGATAATTTATAATTTTTTTATTGTATATCATTTTTCAGAAGTCAATATTATAAAACTACAAAGTCAATTGTGACATAAAGTTTTGCATTTACAGGCTTAATTAATTAGTAATGGGATTTGAGCTTTATTATGTATGACAACCCTGTTTTAATTATATGTGAGCAAACCATAAACACACCGTGTTTAGGGCTGTGATTGCTACTTCATCGTCAATTAGGGCCAATTGTCGCCGGTGAAGCTGGGCGATGGTCAGAGTTCGTCGATTCTCTATTTGTTGGGGCTGCACAATTCTCCTCGTTGTCTTCTATCGCCGATGATCGAATTCGACGATTTTCGTATTTGATCTTCTTGTCGTGGTTGATTGTGAAGAAGATCAAAACTTTCCACCTCTCATGAATTTTAAAAAGCTCGACAATTCTAATGGATTGCTCAAAGCTAGAGATGTCAAACGGGCTAGCCCGAGCCTAAATAGTCCAACCCAACGCAGGTTCAGATTTTAGTCGGGTTTGGCGGGCTAGCCCGTGCGGATTGCGGTTTTAAATTGCTTAGCCCAAGTCCAACCCGTATATTTTTATAAGTTAGCGGGCTGACCCGCAGGTTTTTTTATAAACCTGTTTCTAATTCAATTTTATTTTATAAATTAGTACAAATATGTTTATTTATTAGTTTGTATATCTGTTATGATGATAATATTATATAAAAACTATTTATAAATCTAAAACCAACATTCTAATGAAAACACCAATCGTAAAAAACAAGCTCAATATTCAAAAAAACAAAAATCATAATCCAAAAGCAACATTCCAACATATAAAAAAAACCCAAATATCCAAAAGATAGAAGTGCAAAAACTAGTAGACAACAAACTTGAGTCTTCTTCTTCAACGATTATCTTTATCTTCATCTTCATCATCGACAATGGACTGAAAAGATGGTAGTGTCTCATCGTCCTCATCTTCTTCTTCTACATATGTAAATAAATTAAGTTAGTGAATCTAAAAATAACAATCAAATATGTAAAACATATAAATAAGGATTAGTTTACCGTTCTCATATGCTTCAAATCCCTTTAACCAATTGCGACTGCATATTAAAGCTTGTACATTTTTGGGAAGAAGTCGACTTCTGTACTTGTTCAAAACGCGAGCTCCAATGCTAAAAGAAGACTCTGAAGCTACTGTCGTGATATGTATACTAAGCAAATCGCAAGCCATTGAAGATAACTCACCATATTTTTTAGAGTTATCTTTCCAGTAATCGAGGATGTCCAAACTCTGATTGATCATGTCTAATGGCGGTTCTTCAAGATACATTTCCAGAGAAGTCTTTAGAAATCACAGAATCAGCCGACTTGACTTTAGGCTTTAGCAAAATTCTTAAAGTTATTAATAGTAGGGTTTCACTTAAATGGTTTAACCGTTTAAGTTTGAGAGCATCTAGTTGGTGCAAAAGGTTTTAAAACCTTGGATTTTAATTCAAATTTTTGCAATGTTAAAAAATTAATCAACTATTATGCACGTAGAACTTAAACGTTCTTCACTCTGTTACAAGTTTTGCTTTAACGTGAGTGGTGGTGGTATGAGAATTCTATCAGAAAGCAACGAAAATGTTCTACAGGGCTAATGTAGATGAAGACATAGGAATATAGGATGCTAATAGCTGCCTTAATACTGAACTAGTAAGTTGCACTATATTTCAAAGGCTATCCATAATTCAGTGTACTATGGTGACTAATCTCAAAACCTGAGCTTGGCTAGACTTTCCGTTTAAAATTCTCAAAATCATAACAAATCCTCACGATTATTTAAACTTGTGTAAGACAGTAAGAGATAGATAGAGAATGAAACTGACTTGTTGTCCAAATTTGTCAACTTGATGGCTCTTTGCATCAAAGCAACATAAGCAGCCTGAAAAACACACAACCAATACAGATATTAACTGTAAGTTCATCATTCCAGTAATGAAAATCATAAATGCCTAAATGGGTTATATCAGAAGAAACGAACACTTCTAAGGTCAAGAGGCAGAAGCAAAGTATTTGATAGGGCCGGTGTAGTAATCAAGACCTCTCGCAAGACTCAGATCAAAGACTACTCTGAAGAGATTAGATCCCTGAACAATCGAAAGACAACAACTTAGAATAGAGGAATACATGCTTAAAGATAAAACAGAGCTCTTTTGTTCTTCAGGTTTTTACCTGTTTGAGGATTGTAACAGCGGTGCTGCCACTACAGAACACCCATTAGCTCATCGTTGTTGATATAAGATTGGAATCACTCCAACTTATGATCACAAGATGATCAAGAGAATTCCAAGCTTCTGGTGCGGAATGTGGGATAAAGTCGGAATGGAGGTGGAAATGATGGTGATTGACTCGCTCAATCGGTGGGTTGACTGACTCGCTCAGTCGGTGGGATGGCTGACTCACTCAACCGTTGGAACTAGCCTTGCCTGAATCACACAAATAAATCTATTCCAAGAATCAGTAGAAACAAAGAATCACTCAATTGAATCTAAAGACAAAGTGTTTAAACAAAGAAGACTCTTTGGATAAAAAAAGAACAAAGGTTTTATATTTTCTTAGATAAAAGTTGGTGTCCTACAAATGAAACAGATATAAGCTTATATAGGCCCAGGCAACGTCCTAGACATTAACTCTTAAGAGAGAATTATGCAAAAATAAAAGAAATATCAAAAAGAATGATTAAAGGAATTTTTGTCCCATTTGATGAGTGATAGGGAGAATGGCTAGAATCAAGGGATTCTTTGCTGACTTTGTATCTGGATGGCTTGAGGGTGTAAGTGAGCTTCTGTGGGACGATCTTCCTTTTCCAAGAATCATACAAAAGGCTGAAGTCTTGGCTAGAAAGTAGCTTTTGTGGTTTGATGGAATTCTGCTCCAAAAATGGTAAGTTGAGTATGAATGTGATCCGCCTGATCAAGTAAGGTCTGGTGTAGCTTAAGAGGTGTGGATGTATAGATAATAACTCCAAAACGTTGTAGCTTTGAAGAAGTAGCCGTTGGTGCTCCTTTACTCCAAGTGTGAACATGTCTTGATATGGAAAGTTTGTAAGTAATGGGATCCGCCTGATCCTGTGAGTGATGGTGCATTGTAAGATGTTTCCTGACTCTCCTGGATTGTAATATGTGCCTCCTGAATGCTTAGATGTCTCTCCTGGTCGCCAAAGTTTGGTTTGCAAGTGATTAAACTCGCCAGCTCCCAAATAAGGCAAGCAGAGCATCCTCCGGTTTAG